CCTCCCCCTGGCTGGCCCCACCCCTGATGGGCCTCCCTACTCTGATCAGGGGCAGGGCCAGCTGGCCAAACACCCATGGCCCCTCCCCCAGGCTGCTGGCCCCTGATCGCTCCCCCCACACCCCATCCCGGGGTGGGGGCAGTCAGCCAACCTCCCGTTGCCCTCTCATCCTCCTGACAGGCCCAGCTCCAATCAATCCACCCGATTGGGGCCAGGCGGCCGGACCCCACCCGTGCTTGAATTCGTGCACTGGGCCTCTAGTAAATAAAGAGTCAGTCAGGCCTAAAGCACTAGCATCATAGTATCAAGTAGTATATATATTGGGATTACATATTAACAATATAGAGTTATTGTGAGGATTAAATGAGATGTCATATAAAGAATATAAGGAATGTAAAGCTAAATATAGTTTAGCTACTATTATTCTAGTGTGAAGCAGAATAAACTAAACAATGAGCTTTGCTTTGATGAGTTTTTAATTCTGGCACTAATTCCCATATAGGCAGATACTTATTTATTCTTCTTAGCTCAAGGCTGACCTAATGGTCTTAAATGGCTCTAAATCAACAGTTCTCAAACTGTGGTTTGCAAACTACCTAAAGTCCCAAAGACCCTTTCATGGGGTCTGTAAAGGGAACACTATTTTCATAATTTTATTAATAATAGTATAACTAATTTTATAATAATACTAATGGTCTAATACTATTTTCATTTTTCACTGTTGACATTTGTACTGATGGTGCCAAAGCAATGGTGGGCAACACTACAGAAACCTTAGCATGAATCAAAGCAGTGTGGGACCAGCGTGTATTGGTGGGCATGTTATTCTTCACTACCATGTGCTACCAAAGGGGGAAAAAAAATAAAGCTAGTTTCCCTTAAGAATGTGCCTGATGGAGGGTAAGAGATCAACTGAAGGACTTGTATGCATGCATATAAGCATAACCAATGGACATAAGACACTGAGGGGTAGGGGAGGCCAGGGGATTGTCAAGGGCGGGGAAAAAAGGAGACATATGTAATACTCTTTGTAATACTTTAAGCAATAAAAAAATTTAAAAAAATAAAAAGAGACTTAAGAAACTTAAAAACACATATGAAATACCTGGACCTTATTTGGATCTTCATTTGGCCAAACCAATTTAAAAACAAAAAAGTTGGAGGGTAATTAGGAAAATTTTAATATAAACTGGGAATGAAATGATATTAAAGAATTAGTGACACTTTTGTTAGCTATGATAATGGCATTGCAGTTTTGTAGGTAAATGTCCCTGAGGAGAGTGGGGACCCATACTAAAGTATACAAGGCAGAAATGTCATGCTGCTTGAGATTCACAACATGGGATCAGAAAAACACAAACAAACAACCTCAAAAAATACCAATGAAGCAAGGATGGAAAAATATTAATAACTTAAATCTAGATGATAGGTAGATGGGGATGACTATCTTCTCCACTTTTAGCATGTTTGAAATTTATCATAATAAAAAGTAAAATAAATTACCCGAGCAATTTATTAGCTCTTGCAATGTATTAGCTCTTTCAAATTTCCAACATATAATTCTTAATCTATATAACCCATTTCAAAGTACACACATGTACACATGGATTCATATGATTCTGTATAACATTAAAACCAAAGCCTGACCAATAATTAGCATTTTTAAAAATTATAGATCAATTCCACCTAAGACTATAGTCAAAAATTTTTCTAATGAGTTACTAATAAATCAAATTTTACAGTACATTAAAATACCCAGAGAACCAACCTAAAGAATAAAGATTTCTAACATATACAACTTTATATATATTTCTAATTTTGTAATATGTACTCATTTAGGTAAGGAGAAAAAAAAACTCAAAGGAAATATATCAACATATTAACATGATTATCTCTACAATGGAATTACAATAGTTCTTACTTATTATTTACTATTTTTTATAATATGCATTTCACTTACATTAAAAAAATAGAAAAGCTATGTGTTTAAAATTTTCAAATTTACTATGAAAATCATTTTCTATATGGAATATAGTCAGTTGCTTATTAGTAGTGGTCACCATTATCTTTGTTAAACTTTTTTTTTCCTTTTTAATTCTCACTGGAGTATATGTCTTTATGGATTTTTAGAGAGAGAGAACGGAAGAGAGAGGGGAAGGGAGAGTGGGGATTGAGGAGAGTGGGGACTCATACTAAAGTATACAAGGCAGAGAGAGAGAGAGAGAAAGAGAGAGAGAGAGAGAGAGAAACATTGACATGAGAGAGAAAATTCGATTAGTCGTCTCCTATATGCACCCCAAATGAGGATTTACCCACAACTTGGGCATGTGTCATGACCAGGAATCAAACCTGCAACTTTTGGCACACAGGTCAATGCTCCAACCAAGTGAGCAACCAGGCCATGGCTCTTTGTTAAACTTTGAATTTACCAACATACTAGTAATTCTAGGGCAAATATCTAATAAATGAGACCACATAAATTTAATGCACAAAATAAAACTTCTTGAAATCTGCCAAGATTGAGGCCATTTATAGAAGTAAAACCGTAATCAAAGAAATACAAGTATATATGTAAATACAAATATGTATATTTTAAAAACGGTAGACAGAAAAGTCAAACATACTTTTGCTAAGTGAAATAATTATAATTATAATAACCTATGAGAATGGCTAATCATATATGCAAATTATCATTTGTATAGATACTAGGCATACTAATAACTTAATTCTATTTGTTAACACTAAACTGTTCATATATGCTCAGGTTTCTATTGTGGACATAACATTGACAACTTAGAATATCAATAAGCACAAAGAAAGAAAAACACACTCATCAAAAACTAGGAGGCACAGCCCAGCTGTTGTGACTCAGTGGTTGAGTGTGTGAACCAGGAGCTCAAAGTTGGATTCCAGTTAGGGCACATGCCTGGGTTGTGGGCTTGGTCCCCAGTAGAAAGCGTGTAGGAGGCAGCCGATCAATGATTCTCTCTCATTAATGATGTTTCTATCTCTCTCTCTCTCCTTTCCTCTATGAATTCATAAAAATATATTTTAAAAAAATAGGGGGCACAGAATATTTATTAAAGAAGCCTATCTAACTTCTCTGTTCCATCCTGGGCATTTGCATTTTATCCCATCAAAAACCTCACTTCTACCTGCAAGGAGAGAGCTGTACCAGATGCACATTCCACTTGTCAGAAGTCAACTATGCATGTTTGGCCCTGGAAGAAGGGGCTTTAAAAACAATAAAAGAATGTCTGTACTTTAAGAATACAAATTAATTTTAAGATTTAGTCTTTCTGAAACGAAGGTGTGGCACCTTGTCTAGTCAATACTTAGCTATGTAGGTATCAGGTTTTAAGGGTCTTTGTTTTTTAAAAGAATTGGGCTAACTTTTAGAAATATATTTTACTTTTCACTAAATAAATAATAATTTGATTTCTATTAAAGACAGTTTTAGAGGGAAAAACCTATCTAATATCCTTCCCCGAAATGTCTAAAACTATGTTATTTCTATTTAATACAATTTCCATTACATATACAGATGAGGATATGCATGGTGAACAGTTAAATATTGTGTATGGTACTGGTGGGATGATGGATAAAAAGGATATATTACTATCAGTCTTTTCAAAACCAAACACACAATGGGTCACATTTATAGAATTAGTCACATGTGTAAGATAGTGATGGCTAGGGATTTTTAAAACTCTAGAATTTAACCCATTGGAATTTAATTTCTTATCGACCCTGGACACTGGGCATTGTGGAGAAGCAAAGTGGTCTCCTATTTCACACATGTACCATGGGTCTACAAATCCTCAGAGATAAATATTTAAAGTATCAAGCCTTCAAAGAGATTCCAGCCTAGTCTGCAACAAATATTTATGGCACATTTTATATCTCAACTTTTATAAACACAGACTGAATGTCACACCCTGTAAACACTCTGCAAACATAGTGTCAGGTTTCTATTGTGGAAGCCACAGCAGATGGCTCTCAGGGTCACCTTACCTGCAAGAGCATCCTGGGCTTCAAAGAAAGTACTAAGACCCCCTTTCACACAAGCCAGGCTGCCCTCACTCTTCTTGTTAGCCTGTCTCTTCAGGTTGGTGACTGCCATTTTGAGCTGCTCAAAACTGAAATGAAATAAAGAAACCAAAAGTTTAACACTCCTAACAAGCAAAAAAGAAATAAGATAATGCATTAAGTATAAAATACTAAAGCCTACATTAAGATACAGACTAATATGTTACCAGATGAAAACAAAGGCTTTCAAATTCTTACCTAGAGCTAAAAATTTTAATTGTGAATGCCAAAATTACAGCAGCTAGAAAAAATATTAGTAACCCTCAAGTGGTCAATCCAAATATATCCGTTCAGGCTCAATCCCCAGGATCGGGCCTAAACTGACAGTCGGACATCCCTCTCACAATCCTGGACCACTGGCTCCTAATTGCTCACCTGCCTGCCTGCCTAGTCGCCCCCAACTGCCTCCCCCTCCTGCTGGCCAGATCGCCCCTCACTGCCTCTGCATGCTGGCCTGATCGCCCCTAATTGGCTCCCCTCAGGCCTAGTCACTCCTAACTGCCCTCCCACCAGCCTGATCACCCCTTGCCTCCCCGCTGCCGGCCTGGTCGCCCCCAACTTGCCCCCTATGCTGGCCTGGTTGCCCCTAAATGACCCCCCGCCGGCCTGGTCGCCCCAACTGTCCCCCCTGCCGTCCTGGTCACCCCACATAGCCTGCTGTTCGGTCGTCTGTCTGGTTATTTCGGTCATGACGACCCCTGGCTTTTTATATATTAGGATACTTATGATGGAAATATACATGCAGGTATTTTTATGACCAATATACTAGTATGTCATATATACATATGCCTGGTGAAAGGTTCTGAATATCATTTCTCTGGTGTTAAAGCCTAGATCCGTGGTCGGCAAACTTCGGCTCCCGAGCCACATGCAGCTCTTTTGCCCCTTGAGTGTGGCTCTTCCTAAGCCTTAGGAGTACCCTAATTAAGTTAATAACAATGTGCCTACCTATATAGTTTAAGTTTAAAAATTTTGGCTCTCAAAAGAAATTTCAATCGTTGTACTGTTGATATTTGGCTCTGTTGACTAATCAGTTTGCCGACCACTGGCCTAGATCATGCAGTGGTTGGAAGCCTTCTAAAGCAGGATCTTCTCTGTAAGTTCACTTCTTTTATTGATTTTTTTTTCTCTTTTTTTTTTTTTTAGAGAGAGAGAGGAAGTGAGATGGATAAAGAGATAGAAACATCAATGAGAGAGCTACATCATCCATTGGCTGCCTCCTGCATGACCTCTGCATGCCTCTTACTGGAAATCGAGCCCACAAACTAAGCACATGGCCTAACCAGGAATCGAACTGATGACCTCTTGGATCATGGGTCAACATTCAACCACTGAGCCACACAAGCCAGGTTGTATGTTCATTTCTGTATTCCGGACACAAACTGAACACACTGTTGTCCTTACCATCAACAGCCAATCCTGTCATTAGCAGTGGAATCACAGAAAAAAAACTGGGGAAGGTTTTCAATACACAATCTAAATAACTAAAAAGACCACAATATTTTATATCTCAAGCAGAGAAAAAAATAGGTAGTCCTCAGTATTTCAGAAGTTTTATTTCTACCTGGGCTAAGAAATTAGGCTATAAAACTTTGAATATATTGAGTGCCATGATAGCCTTGCACAAAAAAGAGGTCAATTCTGACTTATAGTAACAGAAAAAGCACATCCATAATGTAAAATCAGAACCATCTATACTAATAATAGAGGAATATGCAAATTATCCGTGATGCCATCACATCATGACCAGTCAGCAAGGTGGGTGGGGCTGTGGGGCCTTGTGTGATTTCGTCCCACCTGGGCAGACTCCCCCATGGCCCTGCAGCCATATCCCGATGCAGACCCGGGGTTTACTAAACTTTACTGGAGCTGCTCCCCACACCCCCACCCCCTGCCCCAGGATCGTGCTGCCCGTAGCAGGGTGCCCCGGCAGCCTTCCGACAGGCTGGCAGCCTGGGAAAGCCAAGTGGGGCGGGGGTGGCAGGGAGCCACAGATGGGTGGGGAGGCCAGAGCCAAGTTCCCAGGGGTCTGAGGAGAGCGCCTGACAGGAGCTTGGACCATAAAGGAGGAAGAGGAAGCAACCATGGGGAGCTCTTCCAATCCTCCTGCACGGACACCCTACTCCAGCCCCGGCACCCCCGGGGGGTTGGGGAGGCTGACCCGACAGGGAGAAGACCCAGCCTCGGGGGTAGCCACAGCCCACACCTCTGACTCCCGATCTCTTCCCCCGTCACCCCCACCAGGGGCGCCCACAACAATAGCATGCCAGCAACGACCTATCAGCGCCCCCGAGGCACCCGGGGCCCGCCACTGCCGGGCCCCCTCGCTGGGGCTGGGCACGCCTCTCCTCCCTACAACTCCAGACCTGGGTGGAGGCAGGCCCAAGTGGCCCCCCAGGGTCAGACCCATCCCCCTGATAGCAGCGGCACCGTCTCTGCAGTGGAAGTGCACTGAACCTCACCAGGGGCCAGAGCTAAACCCGCCCTCCTAGCCCACCTGGCCCCACCCTGGCCCAGCCCCCACCACACTCCAGAAGATTGGAGCCCTGCCCTGAGCACGTATAGCTGTGAAACGGCCACATACAATTTAAAGAATGGCGCCAAGCAGGGAGGTTTGACAGTTACTCCCCATTCGGCCTCACTGCCCCACTAGCGCCCCCCTACGACCCCCCGGCCAGCGCTTCCAGGGATGAACACCACTGCAGGGCTACTGGCAAGAGCGTGCCCGTCCGAGGCCTGTGGAACCCTCTCCAAAGCTTTGATAGCTACAATCCCAGGAAACAATCATGCCTTCCTCCCCTAATCAGTACCTGCTTCCTGCGAGGGTACCCGTGGGCTTAAAAATAACAATCCCTTCCCATTTAGACATCACTTACTTGATGAAACATTTCTATGTTTATTAGCTCAGAACCTCCTCATGACAACCCAGTGAGGTAGGCGGAGAAGAGATTACAATTACCATGGTATATGCGTATGTATTCAGAAATGAAGCTCAGACAGGAAAATTGTCAAGCCCAGTGGTTCCCAAGGTGCAGCACATGCCCCACAGGGGGGCAATTTGATTTTAAGTGGGGGCAATTCCAGAATGAGTTAACAGTGAACTTTTTGCATTTCCTATGGTTCTAGGGGGCCTCATCTATAGCGTATCCTATATAATAAAAGGCTAATATGCAAATGACCGAATGGTGGAATGACCGGTCACTATGATGCGCACTGACCATCAGGGGACAGACACTCAATGCAGGAGCTGCCCCCTGGTGGTCAGTGTGCTCCCACAGGGGGACTGCCGCTCAGCCAGAAGCCAGGTTCATAGCTGGCAAGCACAGTGGCAGTGGTGGGAACCTCTCCCGCTTCTGTGGCAATGCTAAGGATGTCCGATTGATAACTTAGTGGGCCTAAGCCAGTGATGGCGAACCTATTTTTTTGGTTGATTTTTCTTTGTTAAATGGCATTTAAATATATAAAATAGCCAAAACCGGTTTGGCTCAGTGGATAGAGCATCGGCCTGCGGACTGAAAGGTCGGCTAAGGTTGGAGTTACCGGCCATCTTATCCCCACTGGTAGGGCTTCAGAGTGATGAGCCCTAATGCTCACTAGAGCTTACAGCTTTCCCTGCACTGGGAAGAGAAGGCAGAAGGTATGAGTCCCATGGCTGTCACAGGCAGTGTGACCATCCTAGAGGTCTAACTCTGCAGGCCCTCTACCCTATAAGCCAGTGATGGTGAACCTATGACACGTGTGTCAGAGGTGACACGCGAACTCATTTTTTTTGGTTGATTTTTCTTTGTTAAATGGCATTTAAATATATAAAATAAATATTAAAAATATAAGTCTTTGTTTTACTATGGTTGCAAATATCAAAAAATTTCTATATGTGACACGGCACCAGAGTTAAGTTAGGGTTTTTCAAAATGCTGACACGCCGAGCTCAAAAGGTTTGCCATCACTGGCCTAAGCAATCAGTCAGACATATCCCCAAGGCTCCTGGACTGTGAGAGGGCGCAGGCCAGGTTGAGGGAACCCGCCCCCAAGTGCACTAATTTTGTGCACCGGGCCTCTAGTCTCCTATAATGAAAGATTTACTTTAAAAATTTATCAGGCCAAATTTATCCTATGTATAAACCAATTTTTCCTCATGTTTTCTACTAATGGTTTTCCTCCTAATAGATTAAGAATTTCTCCTAAGTTATATTTTAACAAGTTGAATTTTCAAGAATATAAATTTTAAGCAATAAAACATTCATTAAAGCATTTTTACTAAATATCATTGTTTTAAAACAGTCTGCAAAAAAAGTTAAAAATCTGATCTTGTAGAGAAAATGGGTAAAATGTAATTAGCAAACAAAAAGGATCACTTTAATTTAGATATATGACCTTGTCTATTTTTTTGCCTAGTTTTACACCAAGTCTTTGCAAAATGATAAACCAAGTCATCTTCCTTTGCTCTGTGATCTGGGAAGAAGGTGTGTTTCCTACTTTACACCAAGACTTGAAAATTTTGTTGAGTTGGGAAAAGTAACATTCAGACACATCAGTTTTATTACATAGCTGAGACTCAACAAAGTTATAATGGGTTGCACAAATAATGAAACTGATAGAAGCAACACGATAGTAAGGAATAAGGACCCTCTAATTAATAATCCCATTTTATAAATAAGAAAATAGGTACCCTGAGAGGTCCACAAGCTCACCCAAAGTTAAAGGGCTCTGAGAGAACTAGACCTAAAACCCACATCACTGAATAATCCTCTTCACTGCATCTGAGTGAACAACTCACAATCAACAGTTCCACATCACTAACCTGGTGGTTGAGTGGTTCTCTATCAGATACCAGGCAGCTGAAAAATTCTCACTTGTAAAATCAGCACTCATTCCAGGAAACAGCATTTCCAATTCCTTCTGGGGAAATTTACTTCTGTGGGAGAAAAAAAACTTTACAATATAGTTCAAGTTCTATTACTTACAAAGATGTAACAGATATCCAGGAATACCTAGTATAACAAACATGAATACAAACCATTATAATTCTTCATTTACATAATGAAGCCTATATTTTTATGTATATACAAATATATTTCCTACACCTCAGCTGATTTCTTATATATCAACTAGAGGCCCGGTGCACGAAATTTGTGCACGGGTGAAGTGCCTAGGCCTGGCCGGCGATCGAAGCGCAAGCGTCTGGCATGGAAGGGCAGGTCCCAGCTGACCTCTGGGCCCTGGGCAGCACCTGGGGCCCTGGGCCCCACCTGCTCCACTCCACCTGAGACCCCATGTGGAGATGTGGTGAGTGCAGCCAGACGTCTCGTGCCAGGGTGCAGCATGGGCCTCTCAACCACCCAGCAGTGCCACATGGAAGCCGGGTGGGCAGTGTGCTCTCTCTAGGCTGGCCTCGCAGACCAGCTCCTGAGCAAACCCATGGGGAGCCCAACTGTCCCCTGCGGTTCTGGTAGCTGGGCCCAGCTCACCCGGAAGAGGTCGGGCAGATGTGGAGGAGGTCCCCTGAGCACGGCGGATTCCCCGGCGCGCGAGCACTGGCATCTCAGGGGAGGGTAGAAGGGGGAGTGAGAGCAAGCTCTGCAGACACCCCGCATTCTCATTGCACCTCCATCCCCATCACCCCCACCCCCAGGTAGCTGGTGAGAGGTTGCAGGCCCCCCCGAGCGCCA